TCAAGTTGCCGTGACTAGAGGAAGAATTGGTCCCTGTGACCCAAGCCAGGCCAATTTAAGAGAATCCTGCAACTATTTCTGGGTCTGCAGAGAATGAGCTCACGTTTCCATGGGTGTTCTTAGACTCATCTTTGTCAGCATGAGAGTGAAGCTGTCACCGAGGAACACAGCACTACAAGAGAAAGACAGATTCCCAATGGCACTGTTTGAAGACTGGATCCAACCACGCCTGAAGACAACATTCCTTCAGCTTTTCAGTCAATAGATTCCCTTTCTTCTCTTAGACCAACATTGCTGAATTTCCACCACTCAAAACTGAAAATTACTGGGAACCAGAGAGAGCCAGGGACCTGCCCAGAGTCGCCCAGCAGGTTAATGGCAGGTCTCCATCAATACTACCCACTTCCCTGCTCAACCTGGTCTGTCCAGAGGTGCGAAGAACTGGGAACAGGGACAAGGGAGTGGCTGGGCCGGGTGCCCCTCGGAGAGATACCTGGGACCTGGAGCAGGGGGGCAACGAACTTAGGGTGGACGAACCACAGAAGTGGGTAGATGGGCCCCATCCACCATAGGTGAACATCACGGAAGGTGTGACTCAGACTCTCCATGAACCTCAAGCCTTCTTCATTGTTCTTTACCTGGGGATGGCAGGGTGTTGGAGGAAGGCCAGGTCAGGCAGCAGCCCCAGAAGCTTACAACTTTCCACTGCATCCCCTCTTCTGCCTGCATTATTAGTCTACACCTCTACATCTCACCAAGTCAGCTTCCCTTTGTTGGTCTGTCTCCTTTTGTGTGTCTATCTATGTGCCTCTCCCTCTCCCTTCACTTTCGCAATCTTCATCTGTTTCCTTAGGTAAGTGATAGACAGCCAGATGATAATAGCTAGATGATGGAGAGCTACGTGATGATGAGAGATAGATAGATAGATAGATAGATGGATGATAGATAGATAGATAGATAGATAGAAAGATGGATAGAGATTGAGAGACAGATATAGATAGATAAATGATAGAGAGATAGATACATAGAGAGAGAGAGAGAGAGAGAGAGAGAGAGAGTGAGGGGGAGAGACATAGAAGATAGATGACATTTAAATGGGAAGATGGTTGGATGGACGGATGCATGGACAGATGGATGGACAGACAGATGGATGGATGGATGGATGGATGGACAGTCGGATGGATGCACGCATGGACAGATGGATGGATGGATGCATACATGGATGCATAGATGCATGGATGGATGGACGCTTGGAGAATGGGTGGATGGATGGACAGACGTATGGATGCATGCATGCATGCATGGGTGGATGGATGAAGAGAGAAAGGAAAGAGATGAGAGATGGATGGGTAGATTATAGATGATATGTGTTTGTGTATGTTTCTTTTACATTCTCTGTATGTCCTCTCTGACTCCCTCACTTTTTCTCTGTACCTCTCTTTCTTCACCCCTATTTCTCTCTCCATCTCTCCCACTCCCCATGTCTGTGTCTCCTAACCTGCACACCCTCCATGGCTCCCCAGAACC